TCTATGGGATCAAGGCACTGCGGTCAAGTTGCGAAATCTGGCTCTTGAGGGGCTTGGGTTCAGTTCCTGCCTCTCCCATAGACGTATATAACTTCGTTTCTGCAAAACGGGGAAAGTTGTGGCCTACATCACAGAGGTGTTTACAGGAACAATCAAAATTGTAAAGTGCTTTACATACAGAAGGGCCCTAGAACTGGCTGCTGCTGCTGAGAAACAAGCACCTGTTGGGTTTTTCAAGAACAAACTACTTCAAAGTCCCAGCAATTGTATTGCTTGCATGGGTGGCTGGGCAGGGAAGATAGGAATTACTCCCATCTGATCTGAGCCAAAAGGGGCTTTGTGCTGCAGGCTGAGGGATCCGGCAAGTGACCCCCCCCTCCACAATTTAGAGGTAGGCTTTGCCACCGGTCTTTGAACTTTTGCTTCCAAGCCTACATTTCTCTGCAGCTAAAGAAGCCCCAATTTGTATAACTGGTCATATACATGCACAAGTGTGTTGATTTCTTCCTCTGCTTTGCTTGCAGCAGCAAAAATGTTGGGGTAGGGGTATGCAGACTGAAAAAGTTGCCTGCAGCGCCTCCTACCTCCCCTTTTCACGTGCTGCACTGCACATCGCTTGCTCCCCACTCCCTAAATTTGTAGCTTTGACATATTTTATTTCTAAGCTGGAGCTTCTTTCTGAGACGATCAAAGGGATCAAATGCAACACAAGACCTGTGCCACCTAGCTTTGGCCACACGGTGGCCTGTCTAGCAAAATCAGAGTGCAACACTGACTGCATGCTCTGTCTCTGGAATTTCACCCCATTTTGCAGCACACCCACCCCAAAAAAACAGGCGTGGGAAAGAATTTTTCACGGAGATTAAAGATGTTTGAGAAGCCCCTCTTGTTTCAGCTCAGCCCTTGTCCAGCCATCTATCTAAATCAGTGGTTCCCAAAAGCCCCCAACCACTTGAAAATTGCTGAGGGTCTTGCTAGACCACTTATTTTTCTGCCTGTTGCAGCAAAATTCAAAATGCAATAGAACAAATAATAAAAATACAACTGAAAAGCCAAGTGAATATTCAGCACACTGGAAGGGCCATCTCCTGTCTTCAAACCACACATCCAGAGACACACCACGGCCCACTGGTGGTCTGTGGACCACACTTTGGAAACCCCTGGTCTAGATAAGTCTCATCTTTCAAGCGGAGGTCCTCTCTCTAGGAAAGTTGTGCCCAAGCCTGGATTCACCATGTGGGCCCAGGAAACCACCTGACATAATTTCCCACTACTTTGCAACCCATCGGCTAGAGAAACCGATCTCAAAAAAACATTGTGCAATGAAGAAAGTTGTCTAGAGTGTCTTCTAATTGCCTCTGCCTTGCATCCTCATACTGAAGGGATGACACGGCCCCCGTGAAGCCTTTGCCCTCTGGTGCCACTTTTAAAATTTATTAAAGAAATCAAGCCCTGCTCCCCACCACCCTGGAGAGCTGCTGACAGTCAGTGTAAACAGACAAAGGGTCAGCTTAATTTACTAACTTTGGAACAGTAAGGAGTCTCCTTGGCCGTGAAATTAAACTAATACAACACTCCAAAGCCTCAGGGGCTGATGGGATTTATAGTCCAGATGGATGGGGTATAAATATATTATTATTATTATTATTATTATTATTATTATTATTATTATTATTCAGAGGTTGAAGAGCACAAGGCAGAGCCAAGTGATTCTGGCTCCCTTGGGTGGCAAGAAATCCAACATAACTCCCCCACCCCACCCCGCTGTCGCCATCACATCTGGGACCACTTGAGGGAAGAGGGACGTTTGTTTTTGCTTCCACAGTTCACGGCTTGGGCAAGGCATGACAACTGAGAATGCAACACACATCCAGAGCATCTGTGCACATCCATTGTGGGGCAGGGGGGGGGACATCCCTGTTGGATGCCCATCTCCAGGTTGACACCATTAAAAGCTCACTGGCTTAGCAAGGAGTCACATGGCCACTTGCAGCTGGCACCACTTGGGTGCCCTTCCTGGTGCTGCCCAGGAAGGCCACTCTCTGCAGGTGTCACTGGCACTGCCCCCCCACGCCTTCCTGGCAACACTTTGCTCTTTCCTACCCAGAGCAGAAGGACAGGTGTCCCTCGGCAGGTCTTGCCCCGCAGTGCTGGTTGCCAGGTGTTGTGCCCCTGACCCAGGAAGAGAGCTGGTTATCCCAGTGGCATTTCCTACAGCTGGCAAGGGCAGGCGTGTGTGAGCAACAGGCAGCACGGAAGCTCCTCTCTGGGGTCAAAAACCCTTGGCAGCCTGGCTCCACATCAGGTTTCGCCAAATGGGTGCCTTCCAGATGTTTTGGACCACAGTTCCCATCAGCTCCAGGCAGCGCAGCTGTATTACGACCGCAGAGGAGGTAGCAGCCGTAACCCAAAAGAAACTGGAGGGCTCCAGGTTGTTGAAGGCTGCTTTGCGTAGCTCCTCTTCCCAGGACACTGCCTCATCTAACCCCACTTGCACTTTACTCCAGGATACACTCCCAAAGAGATGGGAAAGCTGTTAGCTTGAGACCATCTTCCTCAGGCACCTGCTTCATTCAGCACCCAGCAGGGAGAGGGGTCAGCAACAGGCAGTCCCTGGGCCAAATTGGGCACCTGAAGGATACCAACTAGCCCTCCTCCCATCACCTGCATGGAGATGCGATTGTGCTAACACATGGGTAGGTAAACTAAGGCCCGGGGGCCGGATCTGGCCCAATCGCCTTCTAAATCCAGTCCACAGACGGTCCGGGAATCAGCGTGTTATTACATGAGTAGAATGCTTTTATTTAAAATGCATCTCTGGGTTATTTGTGGGGCATAGGAATTCGTTCATTCCCCCCCCCCAAAAAATATAGTTCAGCCCCACACAAGGTCTGAGGGACAGTGGACCGGCCCCCTGCTGGAAAAGTTTGCTGACCCCTGTGCTAACAAAACTTGAGGGCTTGGCATGATCCAGTACCTGCATCCAAGTGGTTTCAGCTGCCAGATCAGGCCCAGGTTCATCCAGGCCACTCGGAGGCTTGTAAGCAGGACATGAGAATAAGAACTTTCCTCTGCTGGTGCCTCCCAGCAACAGGCAATACCCTGGCAGACTGCCTCTGCATCTGGAGGTTCTGCTTATACACCCGGACCAGCAGTAGCCATTGCTAGCAAACCTCTTCTCTTCCATGAATTTGTCTATCCTCTTTTTCAAGCTAACTAAGCCAGTAACCATCACAACAGGGGTGGTTTTTTGTTTGCCTTCCAATCAATTTCACAGGGAACCCTGGCCTCCAGTACTATGGGAGAGGGAGGAAAAATCACTCCCTGCACCCATTTCTCCTATTTGTACAAGATCTCAGTCATGCAGGCCAGAGCTTTCCAAACTGTGCGGCACGCGACACGTTAGTGTGCCGGCTGCAGTGTGTAGGTGTGTGGTGTGAACGCTCCTCCTGGGGTTGGAACGGAGTTAGTTTAACCTCCGGTTTGCTAGTAAAACCAAGTTTCTGTGTCGCAAAATGATGCACGTCTAAAAAATGTGTCACCAGCATGAAAAGTTTGGAAAGCTCTGATGTAGTAACACATGTTGTACACACATAGCTGCCCAGCAAACTTTTACCCCTCTAGCTGGTGGCTAAGAATCCCTGGGCAAAAGAGTCTGAAGCCAGAATCAGCCTGGAAAAATCCCATTCCCCCCAGTTCCATCACTCAAGGGGGCCAGAACCCCAATTTCTAGAGCCTCCCCCACGGGTAGAAGTTGGGGAACCCAGCATTGGCGAGGGCCTCAAAAACAACAGTCTCTAACAAATTTATTATGGCAGATGGTTTTGCGGGCTTCTCCTTTCCTCAGGCCTGCTGGTGCCCTTAGCAGCGCCAGAGAAGACTCTAGTGAGCTGGAGGCGCCAAGGCCAGTCACCTGGATGGGAGGGGAGCCAGGGTGGAAAGGATTATTCATCTGCAGGAAGGCCTGGCTCCAGGCGGGGCTGGAGGGCGCCAAAACCAGCACTGGGAGCTGAGCAGCTGACCCAGGCAGCCAGGCAGAGCAAGGGGGCTTTGCTCAAAGGCTGCCCTCCACCCCAGCCCCGCTGGCTGCTGCCAAATGATCCCTGCAACCCCCACCCCACCAGGCCCCCTGGCTCGCTCAGCAGCTGGCTTCTCCTTGGCTACTGGCCAGAGCCTCCCTGGGGAAGGGGGAGCTCCCTGCCCTCCTGCTGTGGTGAGAGGCAGGGATGGGGGCCTGGGGAGTGGAAGGGGAAAGGGGGCTTTGGGTGGCGTTTCAGGAAGAAGGGGCCAAACCCATCTGCAATGGCGTGGTAGCCGGGTGTGTGGGAAGCCACTGCTTCGCCACTGCAACCACAACCGGGCACTATATGGAGGTGGGGACTGGCAACCCACACTCTCCTAGCTTCCCTGGAGCTCTTGAGACAGTTCACCAAGCCCAATGCCTCTGAAACGTCCTGGGCCAACGCAACACAGCTTCTCTGGATGCCGGCTTCTCGGTTGGCAGAGAGCACCGGAGGCAGTCGCCTCTCCCCAAGCCCCTGGCAGCTGCCCCTTCCTGGATCTCAGCGGCAGAGGAGGCTGAAGGTCACAGCATGGGCAGGTGCTGGGGACTCCCGAGGGGGAGAGGGGGGGGGTGGGCTGCTGGGTGATGACTCGCACAGCCTTGGCACAGCCAGCTCAGCTTTGTCACTCTCCAGCCAGGCTAAAAATATTTTGACAGCCTCCCGTCCTTGGCCGTGGCTGCTCGAAACAACTTGTACAAGCTCCCCAACTGGGCAGGGGGTGGTGCTGGGGTGGGGGGCAGGGAGGCCTCCCCACGCTGGTGGCAAGGCCTAAAGCTCAGGCCGGCTGTGAGAGGATTTACCCTGCTGCTCTCCTTCTTGCAGACATCCAGGCTCCCCGCTCCCAAACTCTCTTCACTCCCCACCTCCCCTCCATGCTGCGTTTGGAACAGCTGTTTCCAAAGCCTCCTGAATTCCTGCAAACAGCATCGACCTCAGTTGAAATAACACAGCCAGGTTTTATTGGGGATTCTTTCTTTCTTTCTCCCCCCCCCACTCCCTCTTTTTCCATTTCTTTCAGCTAATGGATTTTCTTTTTTTAAAAAAAAAAAGTCTAAAATAAATTACAGAATTAAATAAACTTGGACAAATGCTCTCTCCCATCTCGCCTCCAAAACGAAACACTGAAATAGTTGGCTGGGTTTTGGCAACGGAGGTGTCCAACCCGCAAGGCTGGGAAGCGTAGCTATATATATATGATTGGGGTGGGGGGGTTGGAGGGAGGGAAGGTGGGGGGGCTTCCATGAGCTGCTCTCTTCAGACCCACAGCGTAACAAAGTTGCTCCCCTGCCCTCCCCAGATGCCCACAAACAGCCACTCCTTCTGCCTCCCACCATCTCCCCCCACAAGAGATTCTCGGGAGCTCCTTGCTCCTTGACCTGCTACAAACTATGTGCACGGCTGTTTCCTGGAGGCCCCAACCTGCCTCAGACGTGCGTAGGGTTGTCCAGGTAAGGGTCCGTCTTGGTCATGTGCAGCACCACAGCAGGCACCTTGTAGTGGCAGTGGGTGCCCGTGCAAGTCACCCCGCTGCAGGGCTTCCCTCTAGTCCTGCCCCCCAGTTTCCGGTTGCAGAGGTTCTGCCAGGTCTGCAGGGTCTTGGAGCTCCACACCCAGACCCCACTGGTGATGCCCACCACCAGGGACATGAAGATCTTGAGCATGAAGATGGCCACAGTGGGCACGGAGGCCTCCAGGGTGCAGTCTAGGCTGCGGCGCCCGGGGAAAGGCAGGCACCCGTGCTCCAAGGCCCGGAGAGTCCAATACTCCACGTTGAGGCGCTCGTAGAAGTAGCAGACGATGACGCAGGTGGCCGGGACGGTGTAGAGGATGGAGAAGACACCAATCTTGACCATCAGCTTCTCCAGCTTCTCTGTGTTGGTGCCTCCCGTCTTCATGATCTTGCGGATGTGGAAGAGGGCGACGAAGCCCGTCAGGATGAAGGAGGTGCCCACGACCAGGTAGCAGGACAGCGGGATGAGGACAAAGCCCGTCAGGGCGGCCACGTCCAGGCTGGCCACGTAGCAGAGGCCAGTCAGCTCGTCACCGGCCACCTTGCGCATGGTGAGGATGACGATGGTCTTCATGGCGGGGACCCCCCAGGCGGCCAGGTGGAAGTAGCTGCTGTGTGCCTCAATGGCCTCGTGGCCCCACTTCTTCCCCGCTGCCAGGAACCAGGTCAAGGTGAGCACCACCCACCAGAGGGAAGAGGCCATGCCGAAGTAATAGAGCAGGAGGAAGACCAGGGTGCAGCCAGTGCTCTCCAGGCCCTCCTGGATGACGTAGAGCTGCCCGTCCTCACGGTCGCATGCAATGGCCTCTGCGCCGGCCACCGAGCGGATGAGGAAGGCCACCGAGTAGACGTTGTAGCACATGGAGAGGAAGATGATGGGCCGCTCCGGGTACTGGAAGCGCTGGGGCTCCAGCAGGAAAGTCAGCACTGTGAAGGCGGTGGAGGCGAAGCAGAGCGTGGCCCACACGGCCATCCAGATGAAGGCGAAGTCCTTGTCGCGACGCGCCCAGTACACGTCCACTCCCGGGGAGCAGCGCGGGGCGCACGACGCGCTCTTGGCCACGAACTGGAACTTGTCGCCGTTGGCGCACGGGCCTCCCGGAGCCGAGCCGGGCGGGCTGCCTGCCGGAGGGGGCCTGCCCTCGACGGCGGGCCGGGCCGGGCGAGGGGCCACCGGGAGCATGCCGGCTCCGCGCTGGGGCTCGGCGGTGGCGTTCTCGGGCGCCTCCATGCACAGGGCGTGCGGGTCGTGCTTGGTGGGCAGGCGGGCGCAGTCGAGCGCCTCGGGCCAGCCGAAGTGGAAGTGCGCCATGATGGGCGCGCAGCGCTGGCGCGCCTGCTCGCACATGGGCCGGCAGGCCGGGATGCTGCTGGACACCTGGTCGGTGCACATGGGCGCGTAGAGCGAGCACAGGAAGAAGAGCAGGTGGCCGTGGCAGCCGTAAGCCACCAACGGCGCGAACTCGTGCAGCTTGAGCGCCGCCTCGCCCTGGTGCTCGTGCCCCAGCAGGTTCGGCATGCGCGTCAGGTTGTAGCCGATCCCCTGGCACATCGGGATCTCGATGGCCTGGCAGCGCCCCGAGCCGCGACCGCCGCCCAGCCGCTCCGACGCGTCGTACGCCCCGACGCCCGCGCCGCCCAGCAGCTCCAGCGCCCGGGCGCCCGGGGACGCCGCCACCAACATCGCCAGCAGGACCCGCAGCGGCAGCGGCAGCAGCCCGGCCATGCCTCGCGGCGGCGGCGACAACCACGACCACGGAGCCGGCCGCCGCTCCCGATCACCGCCACCGCATGGCGCGTCACCAGCTCCCCGTGCGCCCACACGGCCGGCGCTCCGCTCGTGGGCGCCTCCGCCGCGCCAGCAGCGCCGCTACACCCTCGGGAGGCGGGCCCGGCGCCGGCGGGACACACCCCGCGCGGGGCGGAGCGCGGGAGGAGGCGGAGCGGGAGGCGGCAGCGGCTCGGGCAGCCGAGTTGCAGCGCGCCTCCCGGGAAGCCCCGCCGGGCCGGCGCTCTGCACGGGCTCAGAGGCGCTGTCGGCTTCCTCAAGCCGGCATGCACTCTGCTCTACTCCTGCCAGCCCATGTTGTTTCTTCCTTTCTGCTGCTACCAAGGGTGGGGAGAGCCACTGGAGCGGGAGCCTGACACGTGAAGTGGTATCGTGTGAGTGGCAGAGCGAAGACACGGCCAGGTCGACGCAGAGTGGAAGCTCCGCCTTCCCATTCATCTCCCTGTCTCGAAAAGCACCAGATTCAGTTTGTGTATGAATGTGTGGGATATGTGTGTGTCTGTCTCGAGGGTTGTTCCTCGAGGGTCCCAGTTAATTTTTGGAAGTGGCTGAAGTTTTTATACTCCTAATCCAGGGCCAGCCCTCTCCTTGGGCAACTGGCCAGTTGTGCCATGAGAAACGAGCAAATTGTGAGTTGGCTTCTCTGCTTACTTGTGAGTTGCTTGTGGGGTTTTCTCTCTCCTGGGTGCCCAAACGATGGAGCCAGGCATGGGGACTTTGCACCCCCTGACCTGGGGAGGGGTTGTGTGGCATTTGTGGTACTGCATCAAACAGGAAAATGCCACCTTGGACCCTGAAATAAAGCAGCCCCACTACATGGGTGTAAGTCAAATGGTGACAGGAGGAACCATTTCTTCCCTGGAGTTGGAGGCAAGATTAGGGGGCTAACCAGGGAGTGTTAGGGGTGAGATGGTGGGCAGCCCACTAGTGGAGGCAGAAACCTAGAGAGATCTGCCCTAAGGGACACAGATAGTGCAGCAGGGAATTTTGCGCAACAAAGCGGGCAGGAATGCCATTCAAATCCCTGCTTGCTATCTAGACTTGCAAGCTTGTGCACAAGAATGAAACCCAAAGCACCTCTTTGGGTGCAGCTGCCATGTCAAAAGCCACCCTAGGTCTTTATTTAATTAACCAAATTTATATACCACTTGGTTCCACCCACAAAAAAACCTCACTCAATCTTTGCTTCTGCAGGCCCCTATAAAGCAGCCCCTCAGGCTTTAAGTGAGCCCAAGGATCCTTCTGAGAACTCTTGAAGCAGCAAAATAGATCTCCGTCTCTCTTTCTCTGGGATCCCTCAGGAAGCAGAAGACTGCATCAGAAGGACAGCCGGAGACAAGCAGAGGGCTGTTCCGCTTTCCATGGGAAGGGGAGGGGGTGGGTGGGCATGTTTAATGTATTAGGGCATCTTTAGAAAACGGCTTTGAAGATGAAACAGCCTCTGTTTAAGTGCCTGGGACTATTATGTATGTGTCACACGTAGGCAAGAACCAGGGAGATGCCGGGATCTGCTCAGCAAAAGCTGATCATAAACAGAATATTTAATCACCAGCCTGCCCCTAACAGGCCTTCTCCTCCTCCTCTTAGACACAAATAATCCAGCAAAAATGGGTGGCTCCCCCTCCCAACACAGCTGCATTGATTGAGGGGATGGTTAGGAGAGCCCTACTTCTGTGATAGGCACCCAGCTCGTGACACCGATGGTCCACCCGCAGCTCCTGTCATTCCAGGGATTCAGAGTCCTTGTCCTTGGATTTCTCCTGAGTCGGTGTCAGGCTGAAAGCGACACTGGCCTGTGGAACTCATGGCTGCATGAAAAGGGAACACACTGCCATGTGCACAGGGTTACTGTGTGGGAGGTTCTATACTGTGTATGATGTAGTGGGACCTAGAGGCTGATGTCCCTTCACACACACCCCATAAAATATTTGAGGGGGTCAGCCCCCCCAGTTGATGGGCATTGCCATTCAAATGGCATGTGTGTGCTGTGTCATGTGATTGATTATGTGTGACAGGGCTTACTTGGTCCCCCTTATTTTATTCAAGTTGGCACCCCTAACAGCCATCATGGCTAATAGCCCTCTCCTCCATGAATTTGTCAAATCCTCTTTTTAAGTTAGTGGCCATCACTGCCTCCTGCAGCAAAGAGTTCCATATAGTTCCAGAGTGGGTTGCCATATTTCAGGACACCCTGAAAGTTGTTAAGCTTTTTTAAGACAAACCCCAAAGTTGTTGAGCCAAAAGACCATGGTTTTTAAATTGCAGGTAGGTAGCCGTGTTGGTCTGCTGTGGTTGAGACAAAATAAAAAAATTCCTTCCAGTAGCACCTTAGAGACCAACTAAGTTAGTTATTGGTATGAGCTCTAAGGTGCTACTGGAAGGAATTTTTTAATGCACACGAAAGCTCATACCAATAACTAACTTAGTTGGTCTCTAAGGTGCTACTGGAAGGAATTTTTTTAGTTTGTTTTTAAACTGGATTGCCTAAGATCCAAATCAAGGTGCCACCTTTCGGAACCCCCCCCCCACGCCAATCCTGCCTTTGAAATCCCGGTAATGTCTGGGAAAATCCGGACGTATGGCAGCCCTAATCCAAGCAATAGCTCAGCTGTCCCATAAGGGGATTGAACCTGCAACCTTGCTGTTATCCACGCTCTAACCAACGGAGCTATCCAGGCCGACTATTTGACTACCCATGCTGAAATCTGGACCTTTACAAATAAAGGGGAGAAATAGGGCACCAAATATTTAACTTGGTAGATTAATGCTAAACTGAAATGCCTCACAATTTCCACTAAATCACACCTGAGCACTCCAAAATGCTGGGGTTGGGGAAACTCTGGTTTCAGCCATCCCCATCATCACATTGGTTTTTCAGGTGCCTCCCTGGTCCAGCCTCACCAGAAAATCTCAGAGGTGGCCTAAAATCCAAACTTGTGAGGCTGTGAGATGCCCTTTCACTCAACATTTTGGTGAGATGGCAGAAGCGGGATCGTTTGAGTCTGGGTCCCACAATTTCCACAGATGGCAGAAAGTCAAGAGGTCTGTTTGCGCTCTGGATTCAATTGCTCTGTGCCATTACTTCTGTCTGAAATAGCACATTAAAAAGTACCACAAAAATAAGTGGATCTCCCACAGGGGAAGAGAGAGGAGGCATCCTTTCATTGCCTGTTCATGGTCCCTTCTAGGAAGAACTGGCTACCAGCAGCAAAGGCATCTCTGCCTGTTGGACGGATCCCAGAGAAACACGTCCGGCTATGTTGATTTCAAAGCCCGGTTGAGTGACTGTGGCAGCTGTCGGAGATCCTGTGGTGTCCACTCCACAGGCACACACAAAAGGCAACATCTCAGTTCAGGGGAATGCAGTTTCCTTGAAGAGAGAGAACAATGGAGACCAAGGACACCTTTTGTTATAAGCTGTTTATTCAGAAATATGCAAGTCAAGCAGGGAGCTGAGTAAGTGAGCTGGAAGGTGGGCAAGGCGAGTCTTTTGAAAACACCTAGGACACCTGATGCTGGGGAGCAACTAAGGACCTGCTTTTCTCTTGCTTTCTCCAGACAGATTCAAAGATGGCATCATCCCATGGATCAGGTGGGATGGATAAAGTCATTCTGTCCCGCTGAAAAAAGTGGGTCCAAAAACACTCCTGGGTACTTCATGCAATGAAGATGACATTGCAAAGATAAGCACTATTTTTTTTTTTTGAGGGGGGGAATTGAAAAACCACTATGATGATGATGATGATGATTCTTTTTCCACAGACAGGGACTCAAGGTGCCTTAAAGCAACACAGAAGAAATACTAAAAGCTAAGCACGTATGAAAGATAACCATTAAAAAGTAATTAAACTCTAACAGAATTAAAGAAATTTAAAAATTAAAATGCAGAGAATAGAAGCAGAGCAGCGGTATTAAAAGTCCTTTCCTTAAAAAACCAACACAGTCAGTTCCCAAAGGCCTGTCTTCACTTGCTGGCAGAAGGACAGCAAGGAGGGAGCCAGTCTGACTTTGCTAGGGAGGGAGTTTCAAAGCCTCGGAGCATGCTGTGGTTTCAGCAGTGGTAGCTAACTTGGTCCCCTGCAGATGTTGATGGACTGCAAAACTTCCCATCCCCCTTGGCCATGCTGGAGCAAATGGGACTTATAAGAGCCCATCCACATCTGGAGGGTATCATGTTGGCTGCCCTGGGGCTGAACGTGGGAGACCCAGGTTCAAATCTCCACTCAGCCATGAAACTCACAGGCCAATCACTGTCTCTGGGCTTAAGCCTACACTCACAGGGTTGTTGTGAGGATAAAATGGGGGAAAGGAGAGAATCACGTGCGCCACCTTGACCTTTGGGAGGGGAAGAAAAGGTGGGGTATAAATGTGATTAATACAGTGGTACCTCGCAAGACGAATGCCTCGCAAGACAAAAAACTCGCTAGACGAAAGGGTTTTTTGAGCTGCTTCGCAAGACGATTTTCCCTATGGGCTTGCTTCGCAAGACGGAAACGTCTTGCAAGTTTGTTTCCTTTTTCTTAACACCGTTAATACAGTTGCGACTTGACTTCAAGGAGCAACTCATAGAACGCGGTGTGGTAGCCTTTTTTGAGGTTTTTAAAGACTTTGGTGATTTTTGAAGCTTTTCCAAAACTTTCCCGACACTGTGCTTCGCAAGACGAAAAAAATTGCAAGACGACAAAACTCGCGGAACGAATTAATTTCGTCTTGTGAGGCACCACTGTAAAACTAATAAGCCAGGGCAGTATATTGCCACAGAAACTAAATAAATAGAGACGTTTCAAGCGTGGCAAAATATGTCAGGTCTGTCTTTCTGGAGATGGTATCCCTGAAGAAGTGCTGCATTGCAGGGGGTTGGACTAGATGACCCTCAGAGTCCTTTCCAACTCTATGATTCTGAGTTGCCTATGTGTATATTGAAGAGGGCAGCAGACAAGCAGTTCTAGAGCCACAGTGTCCTGACAGGTTCTCTGAGGCTATTGGATGTTTCCCTAGGAAGCTGCTGAACTGCATCACAGAAATATTGCAAGTCTCTCCAGTGACATCATTCAAAGGAAACCACCCCGGGG